TGTGCATCTCTCCAGCAAATGTGCTTCTTGATAGCTGGGAGCTATCTTTTTCTTTTTGTATTAATTTACTTTTAATTTTGGTTGTGCTGGGTCTTTGTTGCTGGGCAAGGATTCTTTCCTAGTTGTGGCCAACATCTGGGGGCTACTGTTTGTTTCAGTGCGAGGACTTCTTGCTGAGGCGGCTTCCCTAATTGTGGTGCAGGGACTGTAGGTGCACAGACTTGGGTCGTTGTGGCTCGGGGGCTCAGTCGTCACGGCCCGAGGGCTCAATAGTTGTGGTGCATGAGCTGAGTTGCCCATGGCGTGTGGGATCTTCCAGGACCAGGGACCTCACCTGTGTCCCCTGAATTGGCGGGGGAGTTCTTCACCGCGGTGCTATCAGGGAAGTCCTGAGCTATGTTTTTTATCCAGGTAGTTTTGCTGCGTAAGTTGTTGTTTGCCACATATCATTAGTGCCTCTTTTTTGCTGGGTCTTCATGATTGAGGAGGGAGGTGTGACTGGAGCATGGCGAGTGTGCATTGGTGGGAAGTGAGATGTGACAACTATGTTGACACTAGATTGTGAGTCGTTGAATACTAGATTAAAGAATTTGAGCTTTACTTCGTATGCTCTGGGAGGCATTTTCATTACTGACTAGATTAGTTCCATATTTTAGAAAAATAATTGTGAGTGCAGAGTACAGAATGTGATGGAAAGAAGACATAAAGTTGGAGGCAAGAAGATGTAGGAAACTCTTGCTCTTGCTGTATTATAAGGTTCTTATTTTACTTGAGAAATCTTACAGCTCGTGCTTGAACGATAGGTCTTAACCAACACAAAACCTTCTAAGTCATGTCACAGATAACTTCAGGGCTTCCTTGCTAACTTTGCTTTGAGTTCTTATTAAGAAATACTATATATAAGTTTTAATAATACTAAAATGTAATAGAAACAAGGCACACAACTACAACAGTGTACATAACTGCAGTGTGAAAGTGCTGCCCTCAATATGCCAGCAAATCTGGAAAATTCAGCACTGGCCACAGGACTGGAAAAGGTCAGTTTTCATTCCAATCCCAAAGAAAGGCAATGCCAAAGAATGCTCAGACTATTGCACAATTGTACTCATCTCACGTGCTGGCTAAGTAATGCTTAAAATCCTCCAAGCCAGGCTTCAACAGTATGTAAACTGTGAAATTCCACATGTTCAAGCTGGATTTAGAAAGAGCAGAGGAACCAGAGATCAAATTGCCAACATCTGTTGGATCATCGGAAAAGCAAGAGGGTTCCAGAAAAACATCTATTTCTGCTTTATTGACTACGCCAAAGCCTTTGACTGTGTGGATCACAGCACACTGTGGAAAATTCTGAAAGAAATGGGAATACCAGACCACCTGATCTGCCTCCTGAGAAATCTCTATGCAGGTCAAGAAGCAACAGTTAGAACTGGACATGAAACAACAAACTGGTTCCAAATCGGGAAAGGAGTACATCAAGGCTGTATATTGTCACCCTGCTCATTTAACTTATATGCAGAGTACATTATGAGAAACTCTCGGCTGGAGGAAGCACAAGCTGGAATCAAGATCGTTGGGAGAAATATCAATAACCTCAGATATGCAGATGACACCACCCTTATGGCACAAAGCAAAGAAGAACTAAAGAGCCTCTTGATGAAAGTGAAAGAGGAGAGTGAAAAAGTTGGCTTAAAGCTCAACATTCAGAAAACTAAGATCATGGCATCTGGTCCCATCAAAGCCTAAGGACTCTTGGGTAATCAAAGCCTAGGACTCTTATCGGTTTGTGTATCTGATGAACAGTGGTCAAAGATGTAAATAGAAATGCAGTGGAAGTGTTGAGCTTTTTTGCTTTGCAACATTTCCTTGTATTTCTGTTTACATCTTTGACTACTGTTTATCAGGTACACAAATTGATTGAGTGATAGCATTAGTGTCTGATGCATCAGAGTTGTAAAGAAAGATGAAGACTCAGATCTTTGGGTGGAATAAGAAAATCATTGGAGACCTGAGACTACATGGAGTGGGTGGAGAACAGCAGAATAAAGTTAGATTGGAGGGACATTTCCAGTAAGGAAATAGAAAAAATCTTGTGCTTAGGGTGATTTCATTTTAAAGCCTTAGAAATTCATAAAAATAGATTGTTAGGGACTTCCCTGGTGGTCCAGTAGCTAAGACTTTGCACTCCCAATGCAGGAGGGTCTGGTTTTAATCCCTGGTCAGGGGACTAGGTCGTACATGCGATAAATAAAGATCCTGCATGATGCAACTAAGATCTGTTGCAGCCAAGTAAACAATAAATATATAAAAAAAAGATTGTTAAAAGCTGAAAAAATTTACAGAAAATATAGTCACAGTATTTTTGTTGAAAAACATAATTGGAATATCCTATTTGATATATAAATGTTTATGTGATGAGAGGGAATTTTAAGCACATTTATAACTGACTTTGAAAGAATCAGGGATATAAATTATAGGAGTAAGATGCTTGCATTGATATTCTCAACTATTCCAGTTATAATTTAAAAAAGATTTGTTTTTATGGAAAATAGAAATTAACATAATAGAATAAAATCTTGACTATTCAGTGTTTTAAAGTCAGTCTTGAAGGAATAGATCATGTTCATGTTTTCAAATATTCAAGGTTGACATCACAACAAACTTTATTTCCCTTAATGATAACTTTGTATGTATGGAGATGGTATCTAGACTGTGCTTACACTTCTTGGTAGATTGAAGAGTAAATGGGTTGTTTATTTGGGAGTGGGGAAAGGAAATATAATAGTGGCCTGGCGTAGGAGTAGAAAGACCTACTTTAAAATATCCTCTCCATTATAGAGGTTTTTATTAAAATTTTCTTTTCTCAATGTAAGGTTTATGCTCATACTTCTCTTGAATTCCTGAAATTTAACACCTAAGACTTGTTCTCTGAGGACTGAGCCTGAGTTACGTGTGTAATGAGGGCAGAATGAGAGAGACTGCTTGGGAAGTGAGGTCCCAGGGCTATAAAGAAACTTGTACTTTTGCTAACAAAAATAACTTTTGCTCTAGATAGCTTACTACCTTTATGATAGATTATTAGTCACTTGTGGGCTCCAGATCCTAGCAGCCAATTTAGTATTGTTTAGCTTCTCGATTTTAGTTATGTTTCTCCCCATCCCAGTGGAAATGAATGTCCCTGTTCCTGGGCTCTTTGGATCATGGCCTCCCTATAAATGTTGATGGTATACCACATGTGTATTTTCTAGTTAACTTCTATTAATAACTGAAAGTCTAGAAAGATACAAATGTGGATCAATCCCAAAGTAATTCCTCTCCCTTGATATGTAACATATATTAAATGGTAGAAGAATCACTTTGGGAGTTACAAATTTCTTTGGACTTAGGTTTATTTGTAAAATGAAAGGCTGGATCTCTGAGTACATCTGTGTGATTCTGAGCTATGGCCTGTGACTCTTGGACAGGCTAATTATATTTGTGGGAATCTGTATACATCTATCAAAATTAATATCTGTATCTACCAAGCCACATATTATTTCATTACACAAAAAAGATGTAGGTTAGTAAAGATGTGGATTTTTAAATATATTGTAGACTCTTGCGCTTTAGCAGAGACATGGACTTCTGCTACTTAGTGGATGTGTACTTGTATACAAGTTACTATGAAAACAAGCTGAGAGGATGCTCCTGAAATATTCATTAATGAATGTTGGTGCTTTTCTTGTTGTATAGGACAGGTGAAATGCCTTCTAGAAAGTGAATACTGAAAATGTTGAAAAACATTTTAAATTTTATGTAGCTGACTAAATTACCAAGTAAGGTGTTTATAACAAATTAAAAAGAAACATGAAAAGGACAGCTTTAGTTTACATGAACAACTTCTGTGCTAATTATTAGTTTCACATTAAATCTAATGTGATACCAAAATTCTTTTCATGTTGAAAGATTTTAGATAGACTGTATGTCCTGTTGAGAAGGAAATCACTTCTAATTAAGAATTGATCTGATTAGTCTGAATCAAGGTTACTTTTACATGTGTTAATAATGTATACATGGTTCCTAGGTGGGTAGCATCATCACACTATCTAGTGGATATCTTTGTTAAGTGACAAGATACAAGAAGGAAAAAAAACTGTAACAAATGATCAGGTAACACCACTTCTTACTTTAAAAAATTACAATTCTAAACGCCATTTCAAACAGCAAACTTTTACTATATATGTTTCTGTTAATTTGTAATATCAAAAAGCCTATCTTTTTTTTTAAGTTTCAGTATAAGATTAATACAAATTGAATGATAAATTGTTAGACGTAATTTGTGTAATTTGTGCTTTTCTAGCGGAAAGGGTTTTTACCATGTAGTAAAATACATTTATTCAAAAAAGGAGAGATATAGTACATTATAATTTCAAAGAAATTTTTACATTAAAATGTTAACCTTTTGGCTTAAATTGGAGTTTCATTTAAACTCTAAACAAAGAAGTTCACGATCAAGGCCAAAATCTTGTCTATATTACCATACATATCTAATTATATGTTATTTTAAGCTTGCTTATTTTAAACCATGATTACAGAGTTAACATATGGGAATATATTAAAGGCATAGCCTTATTATATTTACTGGACTTTTGGCTTAATTCTCTACAACTTTAAACTAGTATTGCAATATGAAACAACAGAAGTGTATTTATTTAGATAAAAACAAGATCTGAAATGAGTCCTTCATTGTATTTTTCTAAAGAACTTCTCATGAACATGTATTCAATATCATGTAGCTGGAGAATCATTCATTATATTATTGAAGTTTTTCTTTAACTATATCCCAATATTTTGAGTATATATGAGTTTCAGGCCAACTCCAATTAAACTGTGAATTTAGATATTATTTTGACTACAACATTAAACACAACTAAGATTTTCAAGTCAACACGTTTACAAATCATATTGCCATTGTGTAGTGAAGCCATTCTCTGAAGATTAAAAGTTCTGCTTGTTTGGAAAAATCAATTAGGTCTTTTTAAGCAATTGAAGTTCTGCTTTGCTTCTAAACGTTCCTTTACTAATTTTTCCAAAGAGAAAAGATGCTCATCTGCATCTTCTGGCACAAGGCTTCTCATAGAATTTGCAAGTTCAAAAAGATATTCTGTATTTTTTCCACTTGGACCAGCTGCATTAAAAATTTGTTCAGCGATGTCTTCCAGAGGTGCAGGACCAAGATAATTAGGATTATCACATGTTCCAATATATAGCAACACACTGAATGGTTCTGTTGTGGAATCTTTTGGATGAAAAATGACTGTTGCGGTCCTGTAGCCTCCTTTTTCTCTGAAATCAAGGTATGCTTTTATTTCTTCTTCCTTTCCTACTGGCAGTCTGTAAGCAACACCCCATACACAACCCTGTTGAAAAATGAAAAGAATGTATTATTTAGTATTTACAAGGCTAAAATAGGTGAAGATAGATTATGAGCTAAGAAAATATCTTGTATATTCTTAGAAATCAGTGCAGTTTTGCTTGCCTTAATGTGTAACGAAGAGGTATATACTAAATAATAAAGGAAATAAGCATTTTAAATTCTTCAATCTGAATAATTTCCTTGTATACCAGGATATTTATCTTTGTTTAAATTTTTAAAATTATGTCTTTTAACTAATGGGACTGATATGAAAAATATCAGATCTTCATTTAGTCATTAAAAATATAGTTCTAAATCTTTAATCCATAAGCATTTCACTGATAGTATGCTGAAACCCACTAGAGTGGGTTGCTATTTCCTTCTCCAGTGAATCTTGCTGACCTAGGGATCAAACCAACATCTCCTGCATTGATAGGTGGATTCTTTACTGCTGAGCCACCAGGGAAGCCCTTATAAAATATATTAGTTGTTCCCTTATTTGCAAAAACAGTCTATATTTTAAAAACTCTGTAATAAAGTAATCAACTATTAAGGCATAGGTTCATTTATTTGTTCATTTCTTCACTGCATAAACTTTCAAATATCCTCAGTAAATTACTCCATCCAGAATAGTAAATGGCAAATTCTGTCTAGGGAGCCTATGAACAGTGTCAGTAAAAGCAATGTACTTTAGCTGCAAAGATTTTTTGCAGTATCAATAAAATATCTGTGATACAAGCAAGATTTATAGTTTGTAACACAGATTTTCTAGTTTCTTGACAACTTTTAATTATTATTATTTTTTTAATTATTAAACTTCAGGTTGAATAAATTATCTTGAATAAATTAACATTCTATAGGAACAAAGTGCCTTTTATTACCTCTAATTAGGAGTTTTAGTTACCAGTTTGGAGCCATTTTTTAATAGATGTTTTTCCTAATGTAAGTTATGAAAGCATTTCATAATTTCACCATTATTCATCTGCTGTTGCTTGATTTTTATTATTTTTGCTGCTTTGATTTTTATATATCAAAGTCCTTTCTAAAGTTAAATATTTAACTTCACAGTGTAAAATTTGGATCTCAATAAAATGATTGAAAATATTTAAGAAACAGAGAACTATCAGAGAGGTAAGTTTTCTAGTACTTCATACTTTTTAAAAAACCTGTTGTGCTATCGATAAGATTAGGGAGTAAAGAAAGTGATAATTCATGACTGAGATTTTTTGCTGAAATACTAGACTCCTAGCAAATGTGAGGAAAGCTTTAAGGCTTTCATTTAATTCTTTGTGGTCATCTGGCTATCTGAGGGTTGGCTCCGTTAATGTCAAAGGAAACCACAAAATTCTCAGTCAACAAACTCATCAAGAAGGGAAAAATGAGACTACATGCCATTGGCTTTTCGTTGTCTACCTTGAATTCTGCATCCCAACTTTTCCCAGCACATAAGAAGAAATACAACTAATACAGAGAGGAATTTCTAGGCTTAGTGTAGTTCAAATTATCTGTGATGACTGCTAATAAGATTTCACTGATTATTAAAACTGCAAAACATGTTAACATTTTATGATTAAAGACTATATAAAAAAGAATTATACCATACCACAGGGTCTTCAACAAGAGTCACAACTCTTCCAGGCTGTTTTAAGAAAAGTAAAAAAAAAAAAAAATTTTTTTTCCTGAATTAAAGTTCATTAACTGAGCATTAGCAATTTACTGTTGACATGGAATATTTTAAATTCATTTGTTTATACTGAGCACTTTTTAAAAACTTATTTTTATGATCAATTTTAAAGTGAATTAAAAGAATATCTTATCCAAACTATCTTGGCCTTTTTAAAAAAATTCTCTTAAATTTGTGTATAATAGGTATATTGTATTCACTTAGAATGGATATATTAAAAAACACACCTGTGACTGAAATCAAAAGCAAAAGGAAGAAGCAACTATAAATAAATATTCTGATCACTTTTTTTTCTCTTCAGGGAATAAAGATTGCTATAGTGTTCCACTGAGGAACAAAACATGACATTCCAGGGTGCTTTCCTATAGAGAAGTGGTTCTCAAGTGTAGATAAAAATTACTTGGAAGTAGTTTCTGATTTTGTAAGTCTGGAACAGTCTGAGAATTTGCTTTTTTTTTTTTTTTTATACAAGTCCTACCTTGTGTCAAAGGTTGTGTATTTAATAGACATTAGTGAGAAAGTTGAGTTGTAAGCCACTTTACCTACTTGTATGCCTGCTGTGTGACACATAGTGAACCTGTATCATTCAGATATTTGTGCCATCCTTGTTTCTATTTCCTTCTAGTCTTTGTCCATTTGTATAGATAACTCGTAATCATGGATTTTGGGTTTTTTTTTAATTTAACTTTGCTGTTAGTCTTCTGATACTTTTTAATAGGTCCATGATACTTGACCATCAATGAGCTATAATTTAAAAATCTTTGTACTGTTGGACATTTATATTTAGCTTTTTTTCTATTTAAGATAATGCTACAGTGAGGATACATATATTGATGTGGGTCATGTAGGAATTGCCATATTACCTTCGATTTCAAAGTGAATTTGGAACTATTTATTGAATACCTATTCTTTGTTGTAGAGACGATAAAACTGATTCTGGTTTTTAAAAGCTTATATGAACTTACTAACATGAAATAGGTAGAGAATACTTCAGGGCTGTTATGTATGCTGTTTATTAAGTGAAGTAATAATTCTGAGTCTTGGGTGGTCAGAGGGAAAGACACAATTCTGAGTAAGGGTCTAGGAGGAGAATTAAACCAGGCCAAAGTGTCTGACTTTAGCAGAGGCTTCTCCATATATGGAAGATGATTCAGAAAGATAACTGGAGAAATAGGATAGAGTCAGATTTGAAAAGCTAAAGACTGGAGTTGAAATTGGGGGGCAGTGGAAAAAAACAAGCCACTGAAATTTGGGAGAAACAGGAAATGAGGTGCTACTGTAGCACTCAAGTTAGTAGGTGAATGGCATGATAAAGCAGGTGCTTTGGGAAGATTGGTGTGTTAAAGTATATTTGCTGTTCAGTCGCTCAGTTGTGTCCAACTCTTTGCGACCCCATGGACTGCAGCACACCAGGCTTCCCTGTCCTTCACCATCTCCCGGAGCTTGCTCAAACTCACGTCCACTGAGTCAGTGATGCCACCCAACCATCTTGTCCTCTGTTGTTCCCTTCTCCTTCAGCCTTCAGTCTTTCCCAGCATCAGGGTCCATCAATACAAGGATGTTCATGGTGGGGAAGTATACAGTATGCATGTTTAAGTGGGAAGGAGGTAGACTGAGCAAGAAATGGTGGTGGTCTGCGGATGATCTCTGCTCTCCACTTTTCCTTGCTTCCCCTTTCACCAGCCTACTCACTAATTCTTGGTAGCTTTATCTTCTGATTATTTTCTAAATTTGTTTTCTCTTCATCCTTTAGTTTCCTCCTTAGGGCTTTCGTTCTCTGCCTCTAGTTTGTTCTACATGGCCCTTGGTTGACTTTTTGTTGCAAAAACTGGGTTTTGAATTTTCCTGTCCTTTAAATTTTTCAGGGTTATAATATTCTACACGATAAAATAAAAATTCCTTTGCATGAGTTAACTATAAACCTCACTTCTTACCACTTCCCTCTCAAGCTGTAACAAATTATTTGTAATTTTTCAGTTCAGTTGCTCAGTCCTGTCCAACTCTTTGCAACCCATGGACTCCAGCACACCAGGCCTCCCTGTCCATCACTAACTCTCAGAGCTTGCTTAAACTCATGTCCATCCAGTCAGTGCTGCCATCCAACCATCTCATCCTCTTTCGACCCCTTCTCCTCCCTCCTTCAATCTTTCCCAGCATCAGGGTCTTTTCCAGTGAGTCAGCTCTTTTCATCAGGTGGCCAAAGTATTGGGGTTTCAGCTTTAGCATCAGTCCTTCCAATGAATATTCAGGACTGATTTCCTTTAGGATTGACTTGTTGGATCTCCTTGCAGTCCAAGGGACTCTCGAGTCTTCTTGAATACCACAGTTTAAAGCATCAGTTCTTCAGCACTCAGCTTTCTTTATAGTCCAACTCTCACATCTATACATGACTATTGGAAAAACCGTAGCTTTGACTAGATGGACCTTTGTTGGCAAAATAATGTCTCTGCTTTTTAATGTGCTGTCTAGCTTGTTCATAGCTTTTCTTCCAAGGAGCAAGCGACTTTTAATTTCATGGCTGCAGTCACCATCTGCAGTGATTTTGGAGCCCAAGAAAATAAAGTCTTGTCACTGTTTGTTTCCATTGTTTCCCCATCTATGTGCCATGAAGTGATGGGACCTTTACAAACATTCATATCTTTGAATGTACCAGTGCCCAGAGTGGAATGGGCTTCCCTGGTAGCTTAAACGTTAAAGAGTCCACCCGCAATATGGAGACCTGGGTTCAATCCCTGGGTTGGGAAGATGCCCTGGAGGAGGGCGTGGCAACCCACTCCAGTATTCTTGCCTGGAGAATCCCCATGGACAGAGAAGTCTGGCGGGCTATCGTCCATGAGGTCACAGTGTTGGACATGACTGGGTGACTAGGCACAGTACAGCACTGCACAGCAGAGTGGAATGCCCTTCTTTAGAATTCCTTGGGTATCCTCCTGCCACTTTCTTCATAAAGACTTGGCTGTCTTTCCAGGCAACTTTGCAGCAACTCCTTCTAAACTCTCATTGCACCTTTTCCCTTATAGCACTTATTAGGTACTGTTGTTTGCATAGGTGTTTCCCACTTATATGTGAGTGCTCAGTAGTAATTGTTGAAAGAAGGGAAGGTACTAAAGTCCTCGATGTAGGTGGTGACAATTGAAACAGAAAACAGAGCACATGTAGGGAATCATGAAGGGAAAAATAGATGGGTCCCTTTGACTGCTTATGGATGAAATACACATGGACTGTTGATAGTACTGATATATTTACCCAGAAATATTTTATAAAACTTAAGCTGTTCCTATTATTATTAGGGAAACAATGTAAATTTGTAAGTGTACTTAAATTTTTTGGGGAGGGCATTGAAACTGAAGAAGGGGTCTTGAAAGGTGAATAGGATTGGAAGATGTGAAATATGAGCCATGATGGGTCCTTTCATTGGGTAATGAATAATGTTTCTGATCACCATCTAGAAATGTTAGAGATTTAGTAAATATTCATGATCATCTCTTGTGTTAAAATGTTCTCTCTTTTTGAAATTGAAATATATTCTTCTGTGAACACTTTTTCACATTTAAATAAATCCTTAATTTGATAAGAAATTGCTAGTTTTGTTAGAAATAAATGAAATGCTTAATTAAACTTAGGAAGACATTAAAATTTAATGAAGCTAAAAAGAAAGCATAATTAGGAAAGGAAGTAGGTTTGGCATTTTTCTTACAAATGTCACATTACAGTATGTAGAAATGAGTCCAACATTTGTTTAGTAACATCACATTTCATATGTACTGATGACTAGCTCACCAGCAGCATATGTTGCTGTAAAAAACATAGTGCTATGTAGAGTCTACATTATTATTCTAATTTGCTAGGTATTTCTGTAGCCTTTTGTATTTCTGTTTGTCAGACAGTTAATATTTATATAAGGCTTGTACTCCATTATAATAGAAAATGTGAAGTAAAATAATGTTCTTTCCAGTTTTTTTTTTTAGCAGAACAGTATACTTAGAAAATGTTTAATGTTTTAGGTTTTCCTTCAATATGCTAGGATGGATTCTTTAAATAAAGATTGGTATCAAACTGTTAGCCATTGCAGCACCCCCGCCCCCAACCTTCCTACCTTATATTTTAATATATTTAAGTAAAGAGAGATATTGACTTTTATAGCTACCTTCTTTACTGTTTTATTAAAGACTCATGAATTGTTGTATTGACTTGGCAATTTCTTATCATCAGTTTGTTTTGACAGTGTACATAACTCAGTGTGCTGTGTAACAAACATTTTGGTTGAGAGTCGAGTACTGAAATATGCTATTATAACCATGTTCTTAAGTATTTAATACTTGGTTTTTTAAACTGAAGCCTAGGTTAAGGCATTCCTTTGCAGAATGGCAATTTTAAGTGCTCATATCTGACAACTTAAAAGGCATTTTATTTAACTTAGTTCTTTAAAGTCTTAAATGTTACTTTACAATATTCTTGGAGATAGTTTGGCCATGAAATCTCTTTTGGCCTGTAAATGTGCATTTGTGGTAAATCACTCCCCTGTTTTCAAGTCTACCTTAAAGCCAGATTCTTAATTTACCAACTCTAGTTGAGATAGAATGGCTTTTTTTTGGTGATTCTAATCCTGTGTCTCATTTATGAGCAGGTGCAAACTACAGCCTTCTTCTCTTCCCTTTTCCATGATGTAATACTACAGGTATTTCTTTGGAATTAACCTCAGTCTCTTTCTACATATGATTTCTAGCATTTTGGATTTCCTGCTTTTGAGCCAGTATTAATTTTTTTTTAAAGAAAGTGGTAAGCTCATATAATTTTCAGTATTTTCGAATTAAACATTTTGTACTCTTCTAAAAGTTAGCTATAGTAAGTGTTCAGCTTATCCAAATTGTTAGTTACTCAAAATTCAGTTTTCCTTATGGATTACTTGGCTTGCAGTCAAAACGAGGCTGATTTGCATAAGCAGTGAGCTGTTTGTTATTCTCTGTATTTACAGTGATTAAGATAAATGTCCCTGCATAACTGACTGAAGAATGGATCAGAGAACTTAATCTCACATTTATAGTTTAGAGGAGAACCACTGAAGAAAAAAACATTAAAATAATGTTGGCTATAGTACTGGTACTGTGCTACTTAGGTAACAAAGCCGGACTCAACTTCTGAAGTACCTGACAACCAAGGTGATCAACATAAGCTCCTTTATAACCAGAGGTAATTTTGGAAACTAGTTTTTCTGTGAACATAGGTGTCATAAAATAAAACCTTTGGAAAGATACAAAGAAATCCCAGAAATAACATGCACGTTTAAGCTCAGACCAATGAAAATCTGGCAGAATGCAGAAATGCCAACAAACTTAATTGTTAAAAAGCTGAATTTACTAGTTGATTTTAGTATTTCAACTCCGTGATGACAGGAAGGTTTATTTTCCCACATTTTTGTGAGGCGGGGGGGGAGGGGGGGTAGTTGCCAAGAAATGGGATCCCCTCTCAGCATGTCAGCCTTGTGGGAGCTTGTGCCCACGTTTCTTGCCTCCTCAAGAAGTAACTGCCACCAGCATCTCCAGCGGCTTCAAAAGGACTGCCCTTGGTTTAGGATACCAGAGTCGGGGGCAGGTGGCCGGGGAAGGCGCACAGAGGTAGGAGCAGTATCCCTAACCCTCTGGCCTTTGGCGGTGGGGTGAGTCCCGCAGAGCTGGACAAGGAGTTGAGGAACAGTGCTCCGGGGACAGTAAGTGTGGGGGACCGGTTGCGCCTCACCTTGCCAGGAACTCCGCGGTGGTCGGTGCTGCCCTGCCAGAAGCGCCTGCTGTAGCCTGAGATATATCCAACCAGCTTGTCCTGATAGGGGAAGTCCACTTTCCAGATGAGAGACCCGTAACCGAAAACCCACATCCTTCCCTTGCTTTTCCTCCGTGGTGGCGGCGGCGGCGGCGGCGGCGGCGGCAGTGGCCGTCCCCTCTTCCGTGGTCTCTGAGCTGCTGTCTTGCTGCTGCCGGCAAGGGACTACGACTTTCCGGACGCAAGAAACCGGCTGCGCAGGCGCAAGCCCGCACTCCCTCCTTGGGGGCGCAAAGCACACTGGGGCTTGCAGTTCGCGGGGCGGTTTCCCGCCCTGTCTCAGCCACCGTCATTGTTTTGTCTGCTTGTTTAGGGTATTTGGAAGCATTGATTTCCTCTCTGCTAAGCAATGGATTTTTCAGCAGCCTCAGTTTATCACCCTACCTTTCCTGAGGTGCGTGTGGTCAGAAGACTACAGTACCCACAATCCTTTTAGTGTGGCTTTAAGGTTGGGTGTGTTTACTTTCTTGAAATGGGAGGAGAAGAGAGAGGGTGGGAATCTTGGGTGGCGTGGTCTAGATACACGGAGACGAACTGTTTATGGGCACCTTACGTGGCACGTAGAAAGACATTTCTTAGGCTTTGAAAATTGGATTTCTGCCCATTTAAGAAGAGCTAGGGGAATGCAAGCAGCGATTGTAATCTGTATTTGACTTTACATTAAAAAAATCTTTTTACCTTTCAAAAACAAAGTTCACTACAGAAGTTTTGTGCCTATGGAAGAGCTACCATTATTTCAACAAAAACTGCTTATATTTTTAAATGTTCTGTGTGAAACGACCTTAGTCATCTTTAGTATACTAAGAAACTCACTCAGAAAAATGTAGGTAAATGTTTTTAGCTTGCGCATAGGCTTTGGAAGCCGTATGTGGGACCTCCTGAAATTTTATACAGGATTTGGGATCTGTGTACATTTTTCTGTTGAAGAATATAACAGATTTCATGAGTTTATCCAATAGGTCAAGTATCCTAAAAAAACGTTTTGATCTCCAGGTTAGAGCTGCTGCTCGGAAATACTATTCAGGAAGCTCACTTGGGCCATCAAGGCCATGTTTCTGTATGTGAGAACAGAAGCCTAAACAAATGCTTGTTCTTTTTTGAAGATTTATGTTTTATAGTCTTCAGCTGTGTAAAAGAAGACTAGAACATCTAGGTTCAAAGAGTATTATTTATACTCTTAAAGAAGTCAGCAGAAAAATGTCACAAAGAAAAACTTAGTTTAAGAGTAACCAGGTCTTAACTTTCTTCAAGTTGTGGTTTCACATTGCCTGAAATGGTTAGTTTCCCCCTCCCAATTTTTCTGAAAAATTTCAAACATACAGAAAAGTTAGAAATACAGAGTGTGGTGACCATTTATGTCCTCCACATGGATCCAGTAATTAACATTTTGCCACAGGTACTTTACCTTTTATTTCTCTTTATATACTTTTAAATCTGAAATGTTTGAAGCTGCTTGTGCTGTGACTTAACTGCTAAATAATCTAAGAGTAAGGACATTCTCCTAATAACCAAAGTGCCAATATCACATCTAAGAAAATAAACAATAATTACATCAGATATTTATTCTGTGTTCAGATTTCCTTAATTGCATCAAAATTGATTGTTGCAGCTGATATTTTACCAGTTCAGGTCCAGCTGAGGTATATTTATCATACATATTTGTTACCACATTATATGTATTTTGTTTGTGTTCTCTTTTAGTCTAGAACATAGGTTTTATTAAAAGAGATCTTTATACATTTGCCTTGCTGGGTCTTGGTTGCACACATGGGCTCTTCAGTTTTGTTGAGACATGCAAAATATTAGTCACAGCATGCAGGATCTAGTTCCCTGAGTAGGGATTGAACTCTGGCACCCTGCATTGGGAGCTTGGGATTTTAGCTACTGAACCAGCAAGGAAGTCCCTAAGTAAGATAAGCAGTTTATTCATGTTAACTTGTTGTATTAAGGGTTGAAGAGAATGATCCTGCTATTATAGTACATTTCTTTTGGATTCTCTTTCTCTTAAGTGCAAAGATATCCATTCTGTTAATTTTTTCAAATTATTGCATATTAATCTGGATCTATTGACAGTATTTGTAACTGTGAGAAAAGCCAGAGGGGATTCTTACCTGTTTTTACTTGAACGCTGTTTTTAATGTCTTTGGAATAGTATTCTTGTGTGTGTGTTTGTGGTTTTCCTGTGTAGAAAAAAAAGGTTTCTTCTCTTAGATGAATATGTTTATAAATTGTCTTAAAATGTGTGATTTGTTCTTTTTTGTGAAACTTGAATGTAATGGCCCTCGCTACAAGTAGTGTGGTTCAGAAATGTACAGTTTAGCATTCAAGATTCTCCATAAATTGGCTACCTCTGTAATCTCAGTTTTCTACTGTTTACTTAATCCTTCCAAAGTGAATTGATTGCTTCCATTACTCGCTGGACCTTACTCACCCTTGCTTGTTCGTTTCCATAATTTTGGTTATGTTTTTTTCCTTCTGTCTAGAAATGCTCTTTTGCATGCTATCTCAGTGTCACAGCCTCCCTTATCTTTTAGGCACAGCTGGAAGTAGTTTTCCCCTGCTTTGACTACTCAGGACTTTATCTATACTTTTCTTAGGGCACTTTCTGCTTTCTAGTTTGAATCACATATATTTATTGTTTCTGTGAGATGGTACATAACTTGAGATAGAATCTGTGTCTTTGTGATCTTATATTCTCCTTACTGCTGATCATTTAATTGGTGTTCAGTAAATAATTATTAACTGAATAATTAAATGTTCTGTAGTAGTAAATATCTTCAGTTTCTTAGTATTGGACCAGTTGATTCAATCAGATTAATGCATGGCTAACATTAGCTCTCTATAGAGAGCTATCAGTTCCTGCAGATAGTTTTAATATTTCAATATGACCATTGCATGTGTGCTCAAGTTGCGTCTGACTTTTCGCGACCCCATTGACTGTAGCCTGCCAGGCTCCTCTGTCCATGGAATTTTCCAGGCAAAAATGCTAGAGTGAGTTGCTGTTTCCTGCTTAAAAGGATCTTCCCAACCTAGGGATCGAACTGAGTCTCCTGCATGTGAATCCTGCATTTGCAGGTGGTTTCTTTACCTCTGTGCCGTGCCACCTTGGAAGCCCCAAATATGACCATAGATATGTTTAAATTTTTCTAGCACTACAGTAAATACTGTGTGTGCTTGCTTTTAACCTCTTCCCTCAAATCCACCTTTCTGATTAAATTATTTAGAATATGGCTCTAGAGACCTTTTTACCCATATTGAACTGGACATGTTTTAGGGTTTCCTGAACTACCTCCTAAGATCTTTAGAAAAACTGAAGGAAGGATGAAACTGAAGTGTTACTGAGAAGGGCTACCCTTTGGGAGATAACCATTGCCCTGAAATCCTGGGTCTTAGCCCAATCTGCCTCATAGTTTGACTAACAAGAAATTGTCTTTGTAAGAGTCACACTCTGATCTATATGGGACACTGACTTCAAGGGAACTTGAGATGAACTTTAAAGGGAGATTGTGAGGAAGAGGGCAGTAATTTTGTGAAAAACTTTCTGGGCTAGTGTAGGAAAGCTGGACCCATCTCTTTATGATGCTGTTTGTTCATTTTAGCATATTCAGTCAGTGGGGCTGTTTCATCAAGGAAAGAGAACTGGAGAGTTTCGCTCCTTCTGGAAAGGACTTGCAGATGCAGGAAACCTGGAATTACTGCTTATTTTTGTTCTTTAAAAAAAGTCTTTCACTCCTTTCTGGCTGTTTTGGGTTTAGCTTTTTCCTGTAAAGGGCTATGAAATTAATTCTTGAGGCTGAATGTTGCTGGTAGTTAAATGGCCATCTCTACACAATAGAGTATACATTTGGGGTTAACTGCAACTCCAATACTTTGGCCACCTCGTGTAAAGAGTTGACTCATTGGAAAAGACCCTGATGCTGGGAGGGATTGGGGGCAGGAGGAGAAGGGGACTACAGAGGGTGAGATGGCTGGATGGCATCACCGACTCAATGGACGTGAGTTTGGGTAAACTCCGGGAGTTGTTGATGGACAGGGAGGCCTGGTGTGCTGCGATTCATGGGGTCGCAAAAAGTCGGACACGACTGAGCGACTGAACTGAACTGAGGACCTTATGCTCTCTCATCAACAGCATTCCAGTGAGTGTATTTTGTTGGAGTCTGAATGGAAGAAGAAGGCTGCAGGAAGAAGTTGCTCAGACAAGGAGTGATAGAACACTTTAAACTCCCTTGATACCTTTAATATGAGCATTCTAAGGAATCCTACCCCAAACAGAGAGACTTTCTGGTTTAGTCTCGCAGAGGTGATGACATGACAGGCTATCTCTACCTTAAGCTTTTCCTCAGTAATTACATAATAGATGCCACAGATCAGCTGCGATCTTTTAATATCTAGGAGTACAGTATTTATTGATGACAGTGTTTTCTTTCTACCTTGTTTTGTAGATTGGTCAAAAGAATGGATTTTACAGAGGCATATGCTGATACATGCTCCACGGTTGGACTTGCTGCCAGAGAAGGCAATGTTAAAGTATTAAGAAAACTGCTCAAAAAGGGGCGTAGCATTGATGTTGCTGATAACAGGGGATGGATGCCAATTCATGAAGCAGCTTATCACAACTCTGTAGAATGTTTGCGGCTGTTAATTCATGCAGGTAAAGTTAATTCACGGTATGGAAGGCTGGACTTGCAAGCAGGATTAATAAAAAAAGTGGTAATACATGACTTATTAACAGTAATATTTGTTTACCTTTCTGTAATCATACAGTGACTGCCTCTGTGTTATTAAGAATGGTTAGATTGCCCACCTTGAATTATGTAAGTATGGTGTTCCAGCTAGATGTCTATAAATGTTGTCCTTTATGTGGAAGTGCCTGTGCCTGGCTAGTTTTTATTGCTAAGCTAGGTGATGTGGCAAAAGTAGTCTGCTGTTTTAATTTAAGCATTTGGTAGTTACTGGTTATGTTTATTTTTTATTTTTTCTCCAAAGAAAAAGAGCAATGCTGCTGAAGTTGAGGGTGTGAGTATATTAGTCTTTTTTAGAAATACTTTGTGGTTTCCTTAATTTTGAGACTCTGTGCAATTAGTTTGCTTTTATATTTAATGAAGATACAGAAGAGAGCAGGACGGACAAGATCTCTGCCTTTATGGTGTTTTTAATCCTGTGAGGGTGGGAACAGACAATAAATACCAAAACAGTTAAACAAGATAATTTCAGACAATCGGGCGCCATCAGGGTGGTATGGTTGTAGACACAAGACAATTTCAAAAGGTGACAGTGTTGTGGAAAAAATAAAACAGAGTAATGGGACAGAGAGTAATCATGTACATCTTTTTCCAACTCTGTATTTGATTGACTTCATGCTTATAGGTTGAGATCATGCTCATAGGTTGAGGTCGGCCATGTGGAAGTGTTTTTACCCCAGAACTCAGCCAGTGCTACAAACCAATTCCATAAACTTTTTTTCCCTCTCCCTCAGAGCCAGTTACATTTGCCAGCACCCTGCCGAGTGAAGAGCTCAGTAAATGAGACTAAGCAGAGTTTGTCACTCAGGAAGCGGCATGGAAAGAGAACTAATGGTGACTGAGCCCTGCTTTGTGGCAATCATTGTACTAGATGCTTGATTTACATTATTTATCTAATAAGTACAAAGCTGCTATTTGAGGCATTGTTATACCCATTTTATTGTTGAAAAGATCAAGCAAGGCTTAGAGAAATTTTGCCTTGTCAAAATTTATATAATGAAGTAGGAAATTTGACTTGAATCCTTTTCTCTGACTCATGTTTTCCCACTATAGCATGCTCCCAGCATTTAATCAAAATAACTGTTTTTAACATTCAGTTAATTTAAGCTGAGATTGAATATAACACTCCATGTTATGACACTTGGTGCACTGTTTACATTTCATTAATCATGGAAACTCGGATTTTTCTTTTCTTTATACTTACCATCACCAGGCATAGCTATTCAGGAGGTAGTCTTTTGGGGCTGTCGCTCATCAAAATTACTGATTTCCTCATGGATTAGAAAGAAAATAATCCTTACAGTGTTTTTGGCTTGGCCTTTTGTTTGTTTTGTTTTAAGGGATGAGTGACAGCAAGGCTAAAGTCTCTAAAAATCATGATGCAGGCAATTTGTCATGGCTGCTTTTTAAGTCACATGTTCTAGAGTCTGTTATAGTTGAATGTTTAAAGATACTAAAAAAATAAAATTTATGACTCAAATTTTAAAATGCATGTGTTCAGAATTTGTTTGAAGTTAATTCTATAGCTTGAATTCCCAAACTATCTCTGGTGACAAAGGCATGAATTTGAATATTTGTTTCTGGTTAAAAAGCTCATTCTAGATACACTGTTATCTCTTTCTACATCAGTTTTTCTTTTTGTTTTTCTTTTTGGCCACTCAGTATGTGTGATTGTAGTTCCCTGATTAGGGATTGAACCCACACCTCCTGCATTGGGAACAAGGAGTCTTAACTATTGGAGCACAGGGAAGTCCCCTCACATCAGTTTTATGTTAAATTTTTTTTTTCCTTTTAGCTGCTGAATACAATTAGGCATGCTTTTGACTTAATATGTTTGAACTGGCTATGTAAATCATTTGTGTTTTCTTTTAGAAATGAAAAAAACCATCTTCATTGTTAATGACTGGTTTTTTTTAGACTTGATGGTTTTAGAGGATAAGATGGCCTCACATAGTTAACGTAGTTGACACAGAGGTCAAATAAAAATTTCTTGCTATTTTTATTAGAGTTCACTATTATGAAATAAATTTTGGATAAATCTTAATTTATTTGCAGTATATACACAAGGATTAGGGTGGACTCATTTGAAAAGACCCTGATGTTGGGAAAGATTGAAGGCAGGAGGAGAAGGGGACAACAGAGGATGAGATGGTTAGATGGCATCACTGACTTGATGGGCATGAGTTTGAGTAAACTCTGGGAGTTGATGATGGACAGGGAGGCCTGGCATGCTGCGGCTCATGGGGTCACAAAGAGTCGGACACGACTGAGCAACTGAACTGAACTGATAGAAGGATTTTAGCAACATGTGAACCATGAACTTCCAGATGTTCAAGCTGGATTTAGAAAAGGTGGAGGAACCAGAGATCAAGCTGCCAACATCTGTTGGATCACCAAAAAAGCAAGAGGGTTCCAGAAAACATCTACTACTGCTTATTGACTACACCAAAGCCTTCGACGGTGTGGGCCACAGCACACTGCGGGAAATTCTGAAAGAGATGGGCATGCCAGACCACCTGACCTGCCTCCTGAGAAACCTGTATGCAGGTCAGGAAGCAACAGTTACAACTGGACATGGAACAACAGACTGTGTCCAGATTGGGAAAGGAGTACGTCAAGGCTGTATATTGTCACCCTGCTTATTTAACTTATATGCAGAGTACATCATGAGAAACGCTGGGCTGGATTAAGCACAAGCTGGAATCAAGTTTGCTGGGAGAAATATCAATAACCTCAGATATACAGATGACACCACCCTTACGGCAGAAAGCGAAGAAGAAATAAGAGCCTTTTGATGAAAGTGAGAGAGGAGAGTGCAAAACTGGGCTTAAGACTCATCTTTCAGAAAAGGAAGATCATGGCAAATAGTCCCATCATTTAATGGCAAATAGATGGGGCAACAGTGGAAACAGTGACAGACTTTACTTTTCTCGGGGGCCAAAATCACTGCAGACGGTGACTACATCCATGAAATTAAAAGACGTTTGCTCCTTAGAAGAAAAGTTATGATCAACCTAGACAACATATTAAAAAGCAGAGACATTACTTTGCCAACAAAGGTCTGTCTAGTCAAACCTATGGTTTTTCTAGGAGTCATGTATGGATGTGAGAATTGGACCATAAAGAAAGCTGAGTGCTGAAGAATTGATGTTTTTGAACTGTGGTGTTGGAGAAGACTCTTGAGAGTCCCTTGGACTGCAAGGAGATCCAACCAGTCCATCCTAAATGAAATCAGTCCTGAATATTCATTTGAGGGACTAATGTTGAAGCTGAAACTCCAATACTTTGGCCATCTGATTTGAAGAGCTGACTCATTTGAAAAGACCCTGATGCTCGGAAAGATTGAAGGTGGGTGGAGAAAGGGACCGCAGAGGATGAGATGCTTGGGTGGCATCACTGACTCATTGGACATGGGTTTGAGTAAACTCTGGGAGTTGGTGATGGACAGGGAGGCCTGGTGTGCTGTGGTTCATGGGGTCACAAAGAGTTGGACATGACTGAGTGACTGAACTGACTGACTAACTGATGGAGAAAAGAAACAGGGTTTTCAGAGGGTAGGAAGTGTGTATATGACTTGTTATAGCAGATGGTGACATTTTTGGTCTCAGTCTTTGAGTTTGGTTGTTCTGTATGGTTGGAACTAATGTCCAAAATTCATTAGATTTGGTTATCTGATTCACTAACTGGAAAAATCAAACTAAAATGAAGCAAAAGTTCTATTTAACCTATTAGTCACTTTCAGAAATGTTTTCTGAATTCCCCTGGCTCATACCTTAAAGTCCATACTTTATTCAGGTCCTCTGCCTTCTAGAGAAAGATTATAATTAGAACTTTTCTGAGTGATTCAAATTAAAAAAAAAAGACCAGTGGGGAATGGTAACTGACTACATTGTAAAAGTCTAGCTAGCCAAAAGTCTGTTCTTTACATCTGTGTCTCTTGACTCTGTGGGAGAAGACGAGGGTGGGATGTTTCGAGAGAACAGCATCGAAACATGTATATTATCTAGGGTGAAACAGATCACCAGCCCAGGTTAGATGCATGAGACAAGTGCTCGGGCCTGGTGCACTGGGAAGACCCCAAGGGGTCAGGTGGTGAGGGAGGTGGGAGGGGGGATCGGGATGGGGAACACATGTAAATCCATGGCTGATTCATGTCAATGTATGACAAAAACCACTACAATATTGTAAAGTAATTAACCTCCAACTAATAAAAATAAATGAAAAAAAAAAAGTCTAGCTAGCATACAGTTTCACATAAGGAGGTATTTTTAAAGTGATGGTGACCTATGAACATTTCTAGTCTTGAAGAGTGAAGTGAGGATTCTTCTGCTATTGATGATAGCAGCATCTTCATATCTGTACCAGTTAACCTGGTATTGTAGGTTAATCTTAAAAGTTTCCAAAGCAGGTTTGACATTTCTGTCGTTCTTTATACTTGCTATACCCCTGTCTTATATGATTCATAATTCTCTTGTCCTTTGTGGCTCAGCTCTTAGATATGTGTCTTTTATTATATAATTTCTGCCTTCTTGAACTTCATCTAATATTAGTGAACTGTCAGAGATTCCTAAAGCATTCTATTAGTGCACTAAAGTATGCAGGTGCTCAGGCCTAGACAAAATAACAGAAGAGTCTTAAACGGTGAGAAAGGCTTTGGCTTACCATCATTTTGGATCCAGAATCTAGCCTAGAAATCAGTCATACATGGCCTTCTCATTCAAGCTGGAGAACACTCAAGTGTAGTATGGATTACTTAGAAATTTAATATGCATATATGTATGTATTATATATATATAAAAATATATTTCACTTTAGCTTTCTGTATAAAGTAGTAGCACAAATCACAAATTTGCTTTTCTTCTTTCTTGTATTGGAAATTTGGTGTAATTGAAATTGACAGTTAATCATGCTGTTTTATATTAAACCATTTGCTGACTAAAGGTTACTTAAACTTTTGTAATTAATTATAACGTTATGAACAAGTGCTTTTATGTGGCCAGTATATGATCTAACTCAGTGCTTTTTATTAGTTCATATTAAGAAAATATTATGCTGTTATACTGGGTATGATAACAGATATTAGAAATCCTTAGATAAATAAGGCAGTTTAGCTTAGTGAATAAGAATGTGTATTCAGGGTTATTGCAGTCGCTGTCAAGACTATCATGACAGAGTAAGAGAGCTGGCTCAACTTTGAACATAACGATAGTGAGAATATATAGTCAAGGAACAGAGTGAGGAGATTCATGAATGGAAAACCACTAAGAGGGGTTATCAGGGTAGGGGGTTTCTTGCTAAACTGACTTAGCAGGATTTTTTCTGAAACTGAGCTAGGGAGGCCAAAGATACGACTGGGGAGCATGGGGCCAGGGACGAGGTCTAGACCTATTCAAGAAGAAGGCTCAGAAGAGACTGGCTAAAGTTTTGTCAAGGAGAGGGTCATTGTCACTCCCCAGCCTCCTGACCGGCCTCCCTTCAGGTCCTCCTACTCTCTGTTCTCCTTCCACATAAGGAGTATTCTTCACCTGCCTCCCCTTCCCCAGCACCTGCTCATCACTGAGATGTCAGCTCATGGGTCCCCTGCCTTCGGAAGTCTTCGTTGATCTCACAGACCTCAAGCTAGGTCTTCCTAACTAAAGATCACGCAGAAACTGTTAGACTATCTCCTGCATTAACAGAGTTTAGGATGGGGAATCTTTATTACAATCTCAGCCTGTTGTCACAGAGGCATCACCACCACTGGAGGGTCTGTGAGCAGAGCATGAATACAGATGACTGGTAAACTGCTTGGGTATTTGTTTAAAAGTGTTAATGAAAATTGCTTATTACACTATTTTGCAATTTAAAGATAAGAGTGAAAAATTGTAAGATTCAAAACCAAGTTAATGTGTTGCTTTGAACTCTTAGTTCATGTCAAGCTCTACAGCTATGTCAATATCTGCATTAATTTAAAAAGTATTCATGGGTGGATTCCCTCATGTTTTGTAGAATGTTTTTGTTGATAACAACTAATAAAATTTAAGGGGAAAAAAAAAGTTGTGTTCAGATGGACCACATTATTCTATTATTCTAAGTTTAACACATGGTTTAATTTTTAAAGTCTAGGCTCCCCTCAATATTTTTCTTGTTTTATTTTTCTAAATTCTTTGTTATTCTTATCTGCTCTCCCCAACTCCTATCAACGTGAGTCACTTTACTATTACAAACCCAGTCAATCAAGTAACATTCAGCTCTGTTGACATTTTGCTTAGAATTAAATTTATTATTATTTTGGGAAGAATCAGCATCTCTATCATGTTGAAATTTTCTTTTGGGGAGCTATTTATGTATCTGTATTGAACCTATATCTATATAGGTTCTATAGAAAATTTCAACATATATAGAAATAGATTATAGTTTTTTTTAAAATTTGTTTATTTGGCTGTACCAGCTTTTAGTTGTGGCATGCAAATTCTTAGTTAGAGCATGTGGGACCTAGGTCCCTGACTAGGGATTGAAACCAGGCCCCCTGCATTGGGATTGCAGAATCTTAGCCACTGGATCACCAGGAAGTCCCTTAACGTGATAGTTTTGTGCATAGCTGAATAAATGTCCGTTTCTGACTAATCTGGAAACACTTTCTTTGTGATAGGAACTTTAAAAATATAACTACGCTTATCTTGCCATTTAGTTGTGTATCTTATAAAGTTGGAGACTTTTTTTTATTTATGTTATAGCTTAGACCCCCAGTTTCAGTAGTGAGTTACGATTATAAGAATTACTTAACACCGATGATGATTTTAGTCAGGAGCATTAATTTTAATTCTGATATTTCAAGAAAGGTATTACTTAAAGCTTTTAAAATTTGTCTACTTTTTGTTTTTATCAATGCTCTCAGAAATGCCTTCCTCAGTCACCTTTACAGCCCATCCCTCTATTGTGGGTTTAGAATCTGATTGTTTTGGAAGCAACGTAAGAAAGTCACTTGATATTACCTTTTGTTGTGGAGTTTCAGAAAGTTTAATGTGGACATTATTTCCATAGCTTGAATGTTACCAAAACTTAGAGATTTTCCTAAGAAACCCCAGAAAACTTAAAGTCACTTAATTCATAAGTTCTTTATAAATTGTACAGTTCAATTTCTTTGGCGTACATTTTATTATTTTAGAAATGCAGTCTTCATTAATGATTAGAATATAGTTTTAGCTTAGAAAAGGTGTATTTTAAACTGCTTTCATCTTATTAGTTGAGTGCAAAGAAATAATGCTACGGATGAGACCATTTTCCTCATGGAAATTAGGAAATTAAAAAAATCAAATTTATTAATATTTCAGTAAATCTCAAATCTTGCTCTCATATTTCCTTTTAATTCCTGCCACTCTCTTTCCCCCAATTACCAAAAAATAGAGGAGAAAATGAGTATGTGGGCAGAATCTTTGTTAAGATTACTGGAGAGCTGTTTACACTGTGACCCTTATAGAACTTTTTCTTGGTTTTCTAGAGATTTAAACTATAAGACCTCCCATTTATCCTTACCTTTTAATATTTTATTAAATTCTTCTTAGAATCTTTGCTTTTTATTCCCAAGAAATAGAAGTGATATCTTCTAATTGATAGTTTATTCTTTCATAGATTCATCTGAGAACTACATCAAGACAAAGACTTTTGAGGGCTTCTGTGCATTACATCTGGCTGCAAGTCAGGGACATTGGAAGATCATACAGATTCTTTTAGAAGCTGGGGCAGATCCGAATGCAACTACTTTAGAGGAAACCACACCACTGTTTTTAGGTGACGTATGTTATTTGTGATACAGATAACAATTTTTATTTTTTTAATTTTATATTTTGCTTAAGAAACTAAGCCAGATTTTCCCTCAAGCTGTTGTACTTATGGCAAATATTATATTGCCATTTCTTTGATTTTGAAACCAGAAAGGTGTTTTTAAATGTTCTTCTTCATTTTCTACCCTTGAGTGATAGCATCTGGGAATAGTCTTTTCTGGGGGGAGGATATCATTAAATGTCTGTTTAAAGTTGTAAAATCTTTTTGAAATTGCAGTCACCATGATTGTTCTCAGTGTTGTTCTGAAGACTAGGTAGAATTTAAATTGTAGCAGTAGTTGCAAGGTTACCTGTGAATGTTTTATGTTTAATGCTTCTGTGTTTTCTTAGCATTAAAAAATTAAAGTTTTATGGAAGAAATTAATGGGCTAAATCTTTAATGCCAGTTAATTTGTTGCCTATATGGATCACTATTCAGAGTTATTCCTTTATGGTCTGTTTTTTAATTCATTAAGAACAGAGGCCAAATTGTAAAGGGCATACTTCCAGTACCTGTCTTTAATTCTTCCCTCCTTGTCTTTCATCATATTTGTCTTTAGGCACACTGTGGTCCATAAAGTTTAGTGGAACATGAGAAAATTAAGAGAATAAAATATATAGAATCAAAGTATTTGTACTATAGTTTATACACTATAGTGTACTATAGTTAGTTCACTTATTTACTGTATGATTCAGTTTCTTCACTTACAAAATGAGAGTAATAGTACCTACCAAGTCTTTATTAGGCTGCAAATGTCTATGAAAATAATTTTTTCCTTGTGAATTTAAAAATACATATTCTTAAAATTTGTGTTCAGTAGAATTCATTCTTTTCAGTGAACAGTTGTATGAGTTTTGATGTATGTATAAAAATGTGTTATGACAGTGACAATCAAGACACAAAAGAGTTCATCACCTTCCAGAATTTCACCATATTTCCTGTTTTTATCAGCGTTCCCTCCTAACTTCACGCCTACAACCACTGATCTGTTTTCTGTTTTCTTCCCTGTATTTTGCTCTTTTTTTTTGGCCATGCTGTATGGTTTGGGGGAATCTAAGTTCCCTGACCAAGGATTGAACCTGGGCCATGGCAGTGGAAGCCCAGAGTCCTAACCACAGTACTACCAGGGAATGCCCCTGTAGTTTGCTTTTTAACAGAATGTCATAAATATATGGGCTTCCCTGGTGACTCAGACGTAAAGAATCCACCTGCAATGTGGGAGACCTGGGTTCAATCCCGTGGTTGGGAAGATCCCCTGGAGGAGGGCATGGCAACCCACTCTAGTATTCTTGTTTGGAGAATCCTCATGGACAGAGGAGCCTGGTGGGCTGTAGTCCATGGGATCACAAAGAGTGGAACAACTGAGTGACTAAGTCCATAAATATATATGAAATAATACAACATGGGACTTTTGAGACTGACTTCTTTCACTTAGCATACTGCTTTTGAGATTCATACTTATTGTTGCATGTATCAATAATTCTTTAATTTATTGCTAAGTAGTATTCCATTGTATGAGTGCGCCACAGTGTATCCATTTACCAACTGATGGACATTTGAATTGTGATTTTCATTGTTCAATGATTATGAATAAATTGCTGCAAACTTTTGTATGTAGGTTTTGTTTTAAATATAAGGTTTCATTTCTCTTAATTAATATTTAGGATTGTTAGGTCATGTGGTAAGTATATGTTTAACTTTGGATAAGTTTGGAAGTGAAGTGAAGTGAAGTCACTCAGTCGTGTCTGACTCTGCAACCCCATGGACTGTAGCCTACCATGCTCTTCCGTCCATGGGATTCTTCAGGCAAGAATACTGGAGTGGATTGCCATTTTCCTCTCTAGGAGATCTTCCCGACCCAGGGATTGAACCCAGGTCTCCTGCATTGTAGGCAGACGCTTTACTGTCTGAGCCACCGGGGAAGTCCAAGTATATATTTAACTTTGGAAAAGCTTGGAAATTTCTTACAAAGTGACTTTACCATTTTGCATTCTCTCCAGTAATGTTTGAGTTTCAGTTGCCCCACATCCTTACCATGTCACTTGGAATTGACAGCTTTTTCTTTTGCTTTTTTTACATTTTAGTCATTTTAATAGGAATTAGTGGTATCTCATTGTGATTTTAATTTGTATTTTTCCTGAATGCTAATGACATTGAACATCTTTTCTTGTGACTATTTGTCATTTTTCCTTTTTTTTTTCCTATTTTGTTGTTAGACAAAAGTGTGTTTTGTTTTGAAATAATTTCAGATTTATGGAAGTAACATTACAAAGATTCTTATATACCTTTCACCCAAAATTTGTTCTTTTGCCTTTGTCCACTGTATCATTTTTTCTCACTGTATACCCATATGTTGTTTATTGGAAGCATTTTTTAGATTAAATTATACACATAAAGCTTCTTTACCCACTTTTGTGTGAACTTCCTAGAGGCAGTGAAATTCTTTTATTTATCTACCATAAAATAATCAAGATCAGGAAGTTAACATTGATGCAGTACTTTGTTTAATCTACCGATTGTATGTAATTTGCAGATTTCTCAGTTTTGCCAGTTGTTCCACTACTTTCCCTTTTAGCAAATTTTTTTTATTGGTTCAGGATCAGTCCAGGATTATTTTTTATATTTAGATGTTATATAGCCTCCTGTAACAGTTTTTCAGTCCTTATCTTTTATGATTTTAACATTTTTTGAAGAGTTCAGGCGATTTGTTTTGTAAAATGTCTTTCAGTTTGGGTTTTTCTCATGTTTTTTCTTGATAAAGTGCAGGTAATGTATTTCTCCAGGAATACCAGGGAAGTGAAATGATAGTGCATTTTATCAGGAAGAAAATGATCCAATACTGATGCTATTAACTTATAAAAGTGTTTTGAATATGTGATATATACTGTTATGAAGATGTTTTATGGAAGCCTTGCTGTAATATGATTTGTGTTTCCTGAGGGGGAGGTTACTTTTATATAAAGTTTCTTTTTTTTCCCTCCACATTCACATTTGATCCACCTTGAGTATTCTGTACAACTACATAGAAAGCTTAAGCTTTCAATGGGCTTGCTATGCGCAACCTTTATTCCAGTTGTTATCTTCAAAAAAATCTAACGTAGACACGTGAACAAAATGAACTAGAGCCTGTCAGAGATGAAGGATGAAGAGTATTAAAAGAGGGAAACAAAAGTCACTCTGGGATGACAGGGGAAGGTATCATGTGTAGAGTACTGTATTAATAGTAACAATAATATTTATTTAGCAGAAAAGTGTACTAAGCCCTGTGTCAGGTGTTTTAGATGAGTTATTTTACACTGTGATTCTATGAAATATGTACTATTATTATTTCAACTCTCACAGATGAGGTAATGTAAAAACACTGTATTTTAGAATCAGGAGTGCTGTATATAAGTTTCGATCTTGCTGTCTGTGTATTGGTTAGAATAGTGTTTCCTGAATTGATTCAGTGAGCTAATACATGTTCATTGATGGAAGGATTCCAGATCAACATACATTTGAGAAATGCTGTGTCTTGTATTCCCCAATGCAGAAAAACAGAAAACAGTAGCCATGTAGTTTTATGTGTCTACCTAGTCTGCTGTATCCGCTGTGCTCCATGTTATCCTGTTTTAGTATCTTCAAAGTTCTTATCACTGGCTGCAGTTATTTATTTGCTACTTTATCAACTCCCCTCATTAGAAAGAATGTTCCATGAGAGCAGGGATTTTATCTTGTTCATTCTCCTAACTCCCAAACTTAGATCAGAGGCTGGGATACCATAAAGTGAAAGTGAAAGTTGCTCAGTCATGTCCTACTCTTTGCAACCCCGTGGACTATACAGTCCCTGGAATTCTCTAGGCCAGAATACTGGAGTGGGTTGCATTCCCTTCTCCAAGGGGTCTTCCCAACCTAGGGATCGAGCCCAAGTCTCCTGCATTGCAGACAAGTTCTTTACCATTTGAGCCACCGGGGAAGCTCCTACTAAATATAAATATTTAGTGATTTATATTTCAGGATATAGTTAACTTGCAATTTTTATGTTAATGAAGGAAGAGTTATCAAGATAATTCAAGGCAGCGAATAACTTTTAATCACTTATTTTCAGTAATTTATTAGGATTTATTTAGTTTATGTAAATCCTATACATTCTATGAAGTTAAATAAGATGTATTTAGTTTCTTTGGCAGGAAATTTTCCACCATAATTGTGTTTTATATCGGGTAATACAAAAATATTTTGACTTAAGCAGAGATTTTAAACCAAGGAGATATAGTACATAGAGTACTTCTACATGCTCAAGTACTGCATCAGTTGTGTTAGATTCTTGTTTGGAAGTAGGGAAGTAGAATATTTTTTAAAAAGGAAGAGGAAAAGTACAAGCCTGAGCTTTTGCAAAAACATAGTGATGAAAATGGATATATGACTCTCCAATTAGGTTTTTTTTTTTTTTAATTTTTTATTGGAGGATAATTACTTTACAGTATTGTACTGGTTTCTGTCATCTATCAACAGAAATCAGTCAGAGGGATTCATATATCTCCTCCCTCTCACACCTCCCTCCCATCTCCCACCCCATCCCGCCCCACTAGGTTGTCACAGAGCACTGGGTGGAGCCCACGTCACTGAGCAAATCCCCACTGACTGCCTGTTTTACACATGGTAATATACATGTTTCAGTGCTGTTCTCTCAAGTCATCCTGCCCTCTCCTTCTCCCACTGAGTTCAGAAGTCTGTTCTTCATGTCTGTGTATCATTTTCTTCCCTGCGTGTAGGATCATCAGTACCATCTTTCTGATTCCATGTATATGTGTTAATACTTAAAATATTTGTCTCTTTCTGACTTACTTCACCCTGTACAATAGGCTCTAGGTTTATCCACCTCATTAGGACTGACGTGAATGCATTCTTTTTTTTATAGCTAAGTAATGTGCTGTCATATATCCTCCTCATGGGTAGTTGGATGGCATCACCAATGAAACTGACAT